ACAGCCTTATCACTTGTTTTTTGCTCACCTCCCTGGGAGAAATTTTAATAGAAGGCTCGTACGAAGCTCCCTGGCCTTTCTTCTCCTGTTTAGGAATATGACATCTCTTCTTGGGACTCAATTCCAGTGAAAAAGAAATGATCTAGTTGAGATATTTTGACAAACTGACTGTAAAAATAGCCTGATTTAAAATTGTCCAGTGAAAATGTTTATAACGTTACACCAACCAAACCAAACCAGATGCCTCCTCAGTCTCTTTTGGATTATAACGCAAAGGAAACAACTCGAACTTGAAATTTTGCAAGCAGAAAATAAAATGCTTTTTTGCCTAGTTGCCTTTCTCTTTCCTGCTCTTTAGCCCCATTCTATCTTCTTCCTCATCCCTGCTATTCCTTGTGTGATTCTCCCTCTCTGTAGAGGGTAACGATAAAGACTGTGGTGTTTTGGGCTTGGTAAAATGCTTATCATAGCCCAGCTAGCCTACTAAAGATGCTGGAGGAAGTGAAGGTAAGTGTTCTGCTTATCAATATTGTTGGTGTTCTTGAAATCTAACACAGTCCATCATTTGAGCATCTATTTACCATGTTATTTAGAATTTTAATTTTATCCATCTCCCACTGTATCTTCTTAATGGGGAATAAATTCCACATTTTCATGTATGTAGGAATTTTGATTCATGTGAAACATGATTCCACAAGAAATCAAATTACTATCCCTCCTCTTCTTTGGCATAAATAGAAAGATATTGAGGTAAAATCTAGTAATTATTATACAGGTATGGCCCTCTTATCCCTTAACCCCACCCAAATAAGAAAATTTTCAAATATTCTCCCCTCAATTTTGGAAACAGCCTTTGGTAGCAAGTGGAAGGAATTTCTACTTCCTGTATATGAGCAAAACCATCTGGTTTAGTTGGTTTGGTCAGGTCTTAGAAATGTGTTGACAAACAAATGTGTATTGGGGGTAACTTATAGTCTTTCTCATTATATTGCTCCTGGGGGGAATGACAAATTTATAGAACATGAATAGTCTGGTTTTAAAAGGCTTAAGTAGGTTAAAAATAATTAAAACCTGAAGTCTGCCTGGTGCAGATGTATACCTTTAGTAATGTTCCAACATGGATTTTTACTATTCACTCTCATTTCCTATCTACTAAGAGAGAAAGAAGTGTGCTACTATCTGAGTGTCATCTTCTTCCAAGGAGTCACAAGTGATTTTTCTTTCCAAGTCAACTTTTCTCTTAATGTTTCATTTTGATTTTATTGTTAGTTCTTTTTTTTTTTTTTAAACAGGACTTCCATAGGGCTACTGTAGGATACACATCAAAAGACCAATTTAGTCGGTGTATTTCGTCCTTAATTCTCTGTTTTCTGTTCCCATTCATTAGAATATTAGACTCTCTTCCATGAGGCACAGCCTTCCCTTAAGGGATGGTTCTTGGTGAGTTTTGTAGGAGGCTACATGCAGTAGGAATTTGGGTATTTTTAAAAGATTCATTGTAGTCTCTTCATTTTGCAATATTAAGGACTTTAATATTCTACTCCTGAAACTTCTGCATCGCAGTAATCTTCTTTTGTGATTTTGCATCTTTATTCCAGACATGAGTGTCATTACTTAGGAAGTGTAACTAACGGATGTGAGGAAATTTATTAGTTTTCTCTATTTTGATCCAGTAGTCATAAACAACCTAAAGAGAATCAAAAGATTTTCATGTGATCAATATTTATCACTTAAACCAAAAGAAACAGGAAATATATCTGTACATGTCCAGCATGTACCTAACTGCTGATAGTTATTTTACAAGTTATTAAAAAGAAGAACAGTGCTGGAAAATTTATGGCTTTAAAAATTCTTTGAAGATTTTGCCAGTTCCAATTTAATTTCCAACTTAAAAAAAATGGTTTTCCTCCTTGTCTTCTTGTCTGAGCTGTCCTTTACTTATAGTCAAGAGCTCTTTGTATTCGTTCTTTTATGGATGCAGGCTTTTTGCTTGAATCTGCCAGAGGAAATCTTGCCTCTAGATCCTTCTGCTATGAAAACCCAACAGTTTTTCTTTCAACATTCAGCCTGTATCCTGCATCACTTGTCAATCCAGTCTTATGCTTGGGTCCCAGATTAGCTTTGTTCCTTCTCTTTATTTGTCTGGTTTTCTAGCTGAACTTGAGCATCATTTTTTCTCTAGTAGGACAAGTTGATCTTTTGGCTTAATTAAGAATAAGTACTATTGACTCTCCTCCATGTTTGGAGGCTGAGAGTTTTGCAAAATTCACAGAGATTTATTTATTTATTGCTTGAAAGTGAATATTAAAGAAAGTTCCATGCTGTTTTAAGCAGATGGGCATGGGTCTTATTTTCTCCTCTTAAGGTAATGAGAATTAGGGCACTAGAGGTACCAAATGAAGGTCATAGTAGGACATGAGAAGCCTCCGTTACTCACATTTTTAGTTTTTCACATTCTGTAAAGTTTTACATTCAAATGGACAGTTAAAGGTGAGTGTACTCACCTATAATCCCAGTATTTGGGAGGTGGAAGAAAGAGGTTTCCAAGTTTAGGGCTAACCGGGGCTACATAGTAAGTTCAAGGCCAGGCTTGTCTGCATAGCAAGACCCTTGTTAAAAATAAAAGAAATCTAAACCTGACCTCCACGAACATCTCCTGGATCCCATAAGTGCTAAAGTATTTGTAAAATGCTAACATCATTGAAGAAGCACTGGGCTGAGGCAAAGCTTGTTTTGCCACACTGTGGCTACTATGACAATTAAGTAGCAATGTCCCCATACAGACTGCGTCTTCTTCATTTTCTCTCTTATCTTGTCCCCTACCATAAAAATTAAGTGATGTGCAAAAAATTGCCTAAGAACAGATGCCGCCTTATGGGAGATGTTTCAAATAGCCTGTATCTGTAACAGTTCCGCCTCCACAGCCGATATCCTCTACATCAGTCCTTACTTTCTTCTTTCTTATTGAGGCATTTGCATGTACAATAAAGAGGATAAAAACATAAAAACACAAAGGCAGATTTGTTTGTTCTGAGAACATCTGTTCTCGTTATACAATATCCAAATGATGTGCTTCTGTTTTCTTCCAGTGCCCTCTCAGTTTGCTGCTGTTCAGGAACCGTTACACTGATCTGAGACAAGAGTTTGAGGAAATAATGAGCAGTTTTCTAATGAGATAAAATGTAGGGGAAAAATCCATTATAATATATACATTTTACATGATATTAAAGACAAGTATGGTCACAAGGTGGAGCTGCAATTGAATATAAAATGGTTTATTGTAGAATTATTTTTTCCTAAGTTTATTGAGTGGTTTCATGGCATCAGTACCCCCAAGTTTGGGTATATATTGAGTTGGCTTTCAATCTCTGTGCTCAATGCTCAGATTTGGGTACATTTTAAATATAAGTCTTTGCTGTATATATTGTAACTGAAAGAAACATTATTATTATTATTAAAGTTTACTTCTCAGAAGGATTCCCTTGGAATTCAATAGCTCATTATAATCAGCAGATATATGAATACTAAATACTGAAATTTAAAAGGTATAGTTTAAAATCACCAGATGATAGTATTTCTTTTTCCTAGATAGTATATAACACCTTCAGTCTTTGATATAGAGGAGAGAGAGAGAGAGAGAGAGGGAGACAGAGAGAGAGAGAGAGAGAGAGATAGTGGGGGGGGAAGCTGGTGAAAGATAAATAAGCTTCCAAAATTGCTTAGATTAAAATATTTTTATTGTAATTAGTGATTACCAGAGAAATAAAACCTGTGTAGGTATTTAAAATACCTGGAACATAGCTGGTCCTGTGCTCTATGTATATGCTGGATCTAATACGCATTCATCTGAAGTATTTCAGACGCATAATATCCCTATGGATATATAGGACACTTACATACTTCTTCTTTTTTCTAAGTCATTTTTAGAGATAGGGTTTTGCACATATTGATTGATTATTCCAGAAATGTTGAATTAGCATTTCTGTGAGGGCTCAGCTGTCCACGTAGAAAGAGAAAACTTGGTCTAAGTCCTTTGATTCTGTGCAATCTTTATTTTTAAATTTACGCCTCAGTTCATGGTGACATTTATCCTAAGGTGTCTTCACAGTTTTCTCCCTTCAGTAACTGGTTTTCATGCCTCAGTGTCTCCTTCTTAGTACCACAATGCCTTGTTGCCCCTGATCCTTCAGAGAACACACTTGAATTTCATCTTGAGCATCTCCAGTATAGATTTCTTGAGACAACTTGGTTAATTCCTTTACTTAGTGGCTCTTTCTATGAAACATTCCTTTGACCTAAAAGGTCCAATTCTGAAATCTTACATGATATCACATTTTAGGTTTTGGATCATTTTGGAGGATGATAAAAAAGTAATAAGTCTGGGGACCCTCATATTCCCTTCAGGAGCATTGTTTATAATGGGGTTTCAACCTTGACATGATTGCTATTGTGGTGTGTACTACTGTGATTTCTGTGGTCACTGAATGAAGATAGGACTATGGGTTAATTGATGGACATGTCATGTTAGACAGCAAATGTTGTAGAGTTCTTTTCTCATCTAATTATTGGCTACTTTCCAAAAGCCAGACTGGTGTATTATGTCCAAAAAAATCATATGATTCTAAAATAAGTTTGATAAATTTCCTATATCTTCAAGAAATTCATTTGAAGTCTAAGACTTGGAAAAACAAACAACTCCTGAGTCCTGTATATATTTGCATAGTGCCATTGGCGTTTTAGACCCTCATATCACAGATAAAACAGGAGACTGATTTCTTTCATTACTTTATAATTGTCCTCAGTGTTCGAGCTGAAACTTTTGCTTCTGGGAACTATTGTGGAAGATCCTGGTGGGTAGGTGGATTAGGAGGACTGTTGAGAGGGGTACCATCCATCAAATTTTTCTGGGTCATGTGCACCAGTGTGGCTTTGAGGACCCTGCTGCTGTGTACACAGCTTTGAGAATGGCTTCTAACATTGGCACTCACCGCTGCCCTTAGGCAAAGGACCTGAGACCCTGTATGCGGGGCAAAAGCTCAACGACAATGAGTGGCACACGGTTCGGGTAGTGCGAAGAGGAAAAAGCCTGAAGTTAACCGTGGATGACGATGTGGCTGAGGGTGAGTACAGCCAGGGAGACAGAGAAGTCTCTTGGCTCTCCTAGGTATTTTGGTTTCAGAACTTTCTGTTTTGCTTAATGGAAGTCACAAATCACATTCTCTGTGGATAAGCTCAGGAAAGGCTCAGAAAATAATCTGCCTCTGTATTTTCCCAAGACCTTTCATTAATCTGTATAAAGAACTTACCAACATCTGTAATTAAATATATGGCTCTCTCTCCTTAGGCACAGAGCGTACGTCTGGAGGAGAGAGGTAGGGTACTACAGATCCTTCTGTTATTCAGTAATTACAGAATCACCTAGCAATCATCTTTCTGTGTAAGTTTGTGATGAGTAACCCTTTTGTAGAGAGAAATGGAGAAGCCAGGAATTCAAAGCATTACAGGAACACACATAAGCACAATGCTTAAAAGGTATTGAATAAAGTTTGGTTTAATTGCTTATTCATTTATTTACTCATTATTACCTGAGCACCTAGTCTGTACCAAGCACTAGTTTGGGAGGAACTGGGATACAGTGATATACAAACAGGCAGATCTTTGGCTGGGTGGAAGTTACCTTTGGGAAGAGAATGACTGACTGGATCCATGTATAGGCCAAGTAGCAAGAGTCCCACATAGCTCATATGTACTTTCTGAGAGCCTTGTGTATGTCTGCATGGTGATAGCATTGTAGAAGATAAAAAGGAAGCACAGAGATTACCTATTTCTTCCAATAGCAAAGCAGTCTACTACATTAGCTAAGAATAATTTTTGAAAATAGAAAAAGAATAGATTATGACATTCATATTTAGGTGGGTTAGATTAAAATTTTCAATTGAAACAGAAGAAGTAATTGGGGTGGAGACATTAGATTTATGAAGGTACAGCCAGAATTTGATGGGTAGGTGTAATTGATGAGGTCTGGGGGCAAGGAGAGAGGGCCTGTCCGAGTGATTTGTTGCATGCTGCATTCAGTGAGTCTACTAATATTTCAGCACACAGTATGCAGAATCTTGTCCATCTGGGAAAAGAAAACCTGGAGAGGCAGAGGGTGTTATGCAGAACGTCACCTTCCTCTGATCTCAGCCCTAACACTGACTCTGAGGGATGTTGGGAAAGCTCTTTACTATTCCTAGGCACGTCAGATTTCTGCATTGTCTTCCATGGATACAACAGTGAAGTTAGTCAGGGGCTTTGGGATTTAATATAATCACTGCCCCTAAACTGCCTTATGACTCTGGAACACACATAGTAAAACTATTTTTCTTTATTTTATCATCTTTAAAACTATACTTTTGTTATTTCTAAGGCCCCTTCTAGCATAAATGTTCTGCAATTTTGAGTCCTCTATAATTTAATCTTGTATTCATGAGCCTGAGTGTCTGTAGTTCCAGAATGAAGAATTATGGTGAAGTATGTGTCTGTGCAGGAGTATATGTGTGTGTGTGTGTGTGGGTGTCCATGCACACACGTGTGAGTGTGGGTGCACATGTGTGTGTGTGTGAGTAGAGAAAGAGTCTGTGGACATACAGAGAACATCTGGCATACGTCAGGTAGGCAAGAAATACTATGATAGCTGTCTTCCACACATCACCTCCTTTAACCTTGCATAATTTAATGCAGTCTTTCAAAATAAATGTTCTTATTGTCATTTCACAGAACAGGAACATGAAACTTAGAGGGTCGCTTAATTAAGCTTCAAATTTATGTCTGTGTGATTGCATAAAATCAACCTCCTTGCTTTGCTTCATAATCCATCATATGAAAATGAAAAATACAGTAAGATGGATTAGGAAGAAGTGGGAATTGCATTCAAGAGTGCAACTACAACACTCCTTCTCTCCCTCCTAAAATGAACCCATCAAATATACTACTACACGCTGCCAGTACACACAGAGTAACAGTGGTAGGAGGTATGGTTTCTAGTCTTCATGCCTGCAGGGTAACTTAGCGTCATAAAAATGAGTACTCACAATGAGATGCAAAATGCTCAAAACTCATAGTCAACCTGCATTAATTATTCAAGAACTCCCCATGAGCTGTTAGTTCAGACGGAATTATGCAGAGGCTACTTGCTTAACTCCTCTGATTTGGTAGGGTGACCACCAGGGTGATGGAATCACGGCGTATTTTCAATAGGAGCCACTAGATGGCACCATCCCCACAGTCTCTCCCTGCGGTGCGTTCGTTCCATTTTCCTTGAAAAATACATGCCTTGCAAGTACATTCCTAAAGAACTGCAAACTGAGGGTATTGTAGTTCCCGCTCAATATCATTATTCTTTTATAGAACCTTTGGAATAAAGGTAATTATACATTGTGCTTTCTGTTACCACTAATAATTAGAAAGCAGGGCTAAACCACAGAATGCCAAAGTCACCCAGTTCTTTGATATTTTAAATTAATGAAGTTCTTTCATTTCAGTCTGACCCCCTACTTCACTACTGATGGAAGAAAGCAGCCACGAGGATAAAGAAATTTGGGAGAGGAAAAGAGCTATTTTGCTTATGAGCTATAACCTTGGGTTGCTTTTTACCATGATAAGAGGTTTGAAAATTTTAATTTTAGTTCACAAAAGTCATAAAATCAAGGAATGAAACTAAAATACCACACAATCCCCAGGTTATTAAGTAGCATCTTACTGACTTACTTAGTAATTTCCATTCATGCTGCTTAAGGTTCCCCCATGAGCCAAATTTTCAGCTGGTGTGTAGAAATGATGCAAAGAATAGGTCAGACTCACAGGAAATCAAAAGCAAAGAAAGAAATATTCCTCAACCCAGTATTTTTCATTTATTATAGTGTAATTGTATTCTTGGAAACATTAAATTCAGTTGACAGTTAATAAGGATTGATTGATTGATTGGGCTGGATTTCTATTATTATGAATAGATTAAAAGTGTTTCACTTGGATTATTCTCTTCTCCTAATAGGGGTCTAATGATGCATGAAGCACTCACTCCACCCAGAACTTCTTACACCTATGAAAATGCACCCCTCTTTTCACTGGTCTGGTCCAATTTGACTTCCTCCTCTCTCTTCCATGCTGTGCAAAAGTCATTTTCCAAAGTTTTGATTAAAATCTTGTTCCTCCTGTTAATAAAAAGTTTGATAAAAAATAGAACTTAGAATTATTAGGTCAAATATGAAGTTATTTATTGCAGGACTTATTTGTATCATGTAATAAGCTAATGTACACTGATAATCATTAATAATTAAATACGCAATATTTCCCAAATGTATTTGGCTTGAGAAGCTTTTTTTGAATAAAGCATTTTATAACACACATTTTTAAAATATTGGATATCATGGAAAAAGAGATTTGATACCAATGCAGCTGGAAAATTGTAGGCAAAATGTGAGAATTCTTTACTGAGACTTTGCCTATATTTTCTTAACTTCTCTCCCTGTACTGGAAGACAAAAGAGGTCAGATTACTTCCTCTCAGCCTGCTATCCATTATTCGTTTATTTGCTAAACTTGCATTATTGGCCAGGAGCCTCCTGTGCAGAAATGGTCTGATTCCTGACTCAAGCCAGTGTCTCTGATAGTCCCTTCCACTGATGCAGATGCTTGCTGTCCTCTGTCCCCTGTCCTGTACACTAAGGGACATACAGAGGACCCTAAAAGTAGACCCTACTTTAAAAGTGGCTTGAGGGCTGGGGATTTGGCTCAGCAGTGCCACTGCCTGCCTCGCAAGCACAAGGTCCCGAGTTCGATTTCCAGTACCCTCCAAAAAAGTGGCTTGAATCCTAATGAAAATATTTCAGAGAAAGGGAAAAATTGATGGCTGTAGAATTACTAATAGCAAACAATTTAATTCCCAGGCATTGTTCTAAGTACTTTACGTGTTTTGACACATTTGGCCCTGTTAACTTCATACTTTTTTCACACATGAGAAACTGAGGCAGGAAAATGTTAAGGAACTCCCCCAGGGAAACCCAGGTAAGAAGTTGTGAGAGTTGGGGTCCACACGAAGGGAGCAGATCCAGGGATTCTATGCATATCCACTCTCTGCCGTGTCTTCCTGGGAAGCTGCAGCTAGAATCTGGCCCAAATTTTCCATAGGTTTATTCTTTATCACTCTGGGAGTTGGTCCAGTGGTGGCTTACTGGCTGTCAGGGCTACATCGGAGTGAATATGTGAACAGGATCCAGGGCTGCAAGGCACATGGTATACTACCCTGGAGCTAGGTGGAATGGCATCATGATACTTAACTATAGGGAAGAAGTGTGGACTCATTGTGACGGGTTCTGCATAGAAATTTCAAGAGTTAAACTCTGCCTACTGTTTCGCTTGGATGCTGATGTAGGGAATGAGTCACATTTTTCTTCAAAGACAGTATCAAGCGCAGGTAAAGATATGGGCTGTGGAATTTATATTATTAGGTTCAATTTGAGGTTCTACTATTTACTTGTTTAAACCCTGATCAGATTTCTTAATCTCTGCAAGCTCAGGGCTCTCACCTATAAAGTGGGATAGTGATGCCTATCTATGATTTTATTGTGATAGGGCATAGGTGAGGCAGGCTCAACACAGGGCCTGGACCATAGGAATAGTCAGTAGTCCTGAGGTTTCTTTGTTATCTTTCCCTCATGTTGTTTCTCTTTCCTCTGAAATTCCAAAGCAGTTGCTATGAGGACCTCAATCTTTTCCCCAAACAGTAGGGATATACACATATTCATTTCCAGGGGATTGAGCCAGTAGTGAACTCAATTCTTTTTTCAATTGGCCCCACACTGCCTTCTCTTCTACCCTCCCAGACTTAATCGAACCTTCTCTTTGAGTCCGCCTAAACCCTAACTGTCCCTATGGTTAGCCAAGTCCTCCCTCAGTTTCCCTTCTATCTCAATCAACACCTTACGATTTTTTCTTGTTTTATCAGATTGATTTCCTAGGGAGCAGAATTGCATAATCCCTCAGTTCCAAAGGTTGGGTTCACTAGAATGTCTAAAAGCTCCCAATTGACTTTAACATTATTTATTTAGATTCCTTTTCTTACACAAGCATCCATCATTTTGAATTGCCATGGTTCTCATTGTAGACTTTTTGGTAAAACACAAATGGACATGAATATAAACATCATCATATTTTAGTTCATCTGACCCCATGCAGATTGGCTCTGACTCATTTCCTCCTCGTTCTGGTATTAACAGCTATAAATAAATGCCAGTTGAGTGTTTATTTTTGTCATTTCATTGTTTTGAAATAGGTAGGTTCAGGTTTTTTTTGTTGTTGTTTTTTGCTTTGGATTTTTATGACCAGAGCAAATTTCAATGCTAAGTCATTTTACGCAATCATTCTTTTTACTATTTAGTTATCAACCGATTTGGCTTGCATGTTGATTTTTTTTTTTTTTTTTTTTTTTTTTGTACTGGGGATTGAACTCGCATGTTGATTTTTGATCTACAAAATTGTATTTGTTAACATCCTTACTTTATTTTTGTGTATAATAAGAGAATGATGTGAGCTATTCTTCTGCTGGGTATCTTCCCAAAAGAATTAAAGGAATCACACCACAGCGTTATATGCACACCCATGTTTATAGTGGCACAGTTTGTAATAGCTAAAATTTGGAAACAGCCCAATTGCCAATCAAGTAGAGACTGGATGAAGAAGGTGTTTGTATGTTTGTGTGCGTGTGTGTGTGCATGTGTGTGTGTGTGTGAGTGTGTGTGTGTTTAATGAAATGGAGTACTAATCAGCCATAAAAAATGAGAAACTAGAGACATTTTTAGCCAAATGGATGCACACTGAGGCCATAATCTTAAGTGAAATAAATAGGACACACGTGTAAATACCAAATAGTTTCTCTGGTATGAAAAACTAAAGTGTAAATAAGGGTTGAAAGGTATAATAGATAACATGAAATAGAAAAATAAATCTAAAGGAGTAGGGGAAGTGTGAGGGGTGGGGAAAAGGAAAGAAGGGAAAAGAAAAAATATAAGAAAAGGAAAAAATGGAAACTGTCTTTGTAAATAGGGAAGGTGGGGGCTGAAGGTAGGGTAGGGGAATGGGAAAAATAAGAACCAAGATACATCATGTAAAAGTACAAGATCTCAGTGATGAATCTAACTACTGTATACCTAAAATGTACCAATTAACTTAATGGAAACAACATGAGAATGATGTGGTACTAGCCGTCAGAATGCCCATAAGATGGAAGTGTGACTCTGGTGCTCAGGATCAACTCTTTGCATGTCTGAGTTTGCTCCTGGAGAGATGAAATTTGAATGGGCAGCCCAGGGTATAATGTGGTCGAATCTCCCAGATTGAAGTTCAAGGTGCCAGAGAAAATACATTCCTTTTTATTTTTGTCAAAAAAAGTTCAAAAATAAAGAGATACAACAAAGAGGAAAGAGACACAAATCATGCACCATTTTATTAGTGACTATGCTGTCATTAAAACATGGCCTACATCTACATCTACTACACCTCAGAGACGGATGCAGGAGCTCCCTGGAACCTGACTGAGGATAGGAGGGCAACCTCCAGGGAAGCAGGAAGCAAGAAGCAAGGGCTCCACCCCCACTGCAGGTGCAACGCGGTACTGGATGGAGTGGAATGGGTGTTTCTGATGGATGATGCCTTGCTCAGGCAAAGAAAACGGGAAGCTTAAGGGGTGGACTGTACCTGTACAGCAGAGCTGTGCATCTCTTTGCAGCGCACTGTGGATATTCCCTACTAAGTCACTCCTCTCCTACAAAGTTGTAAAAGAGAAAGTAAAGGGATTCTAACATGTCTTGCTAATGGGGTTTCGTCAACGGAGAAGTTGACTACAAAAGATAGGAGGGAAAAGGAATTCCCTTTCTTCTCTCTCCAATACCATAAGGCAGGAGAATATAGTCTGTTACACTGTATTTTATTTGGAAATTTTTATTTGTGGTACCTAGTGATTACATCCTTTGTGTAGAGTTGGTGTGTGTGCATAACACATATCAGTTCTTTTTTCATCTCCTTTCCCTCCCCATTCCCTCCATATCTTTTTTGTTTTGTTTTGTTTTGGTACCAGGGAATCAAACTCGGGTCCTTGTGCTTGCTAGGCAGGCAGCAGAACCATTGAGCTAAATCCCTGGCCCTCCTTCCATATCTTGATTTCTTTCTTATTTGAGAAAGATCTATCTCCCTAATTTCTATTGTCTTTTATTTTGCTCTTTATTTGTAGTTTGGGTTTCTCATATAAGAGAAACTGAGATATTTAAGCTTGCGCATCTGGTTTATTTCACTTAACATTATGATTTCAAGGTGCATCCATTTTCTTATCAATGACTCATTTATCCTTCTTCATGGCAGAATAGCACTTGATCATGCATAAATACTACACTTTCTTTATCCCTTAATCTGTTGACAGACATATAGGCTGCTTCCAAGACTTAGCTATTCTGAATTGTGAATATATAAACATGGTTGTGCATGTATCACTGTAACATGATGTGTTTAACTCTTTTGGAAAGATACCCATAAAGGTAATACATGTGTTGAATGCAGTTTCTATTTTTAGTTTTTTGAGGAATCTTCAGGTATCCAACTTCTACCCTGGGCATATGAACAATGTATTTTCTCTGTTATTAAAATTTCCAGCCAAGCTGTTTTACTTTGTCTGTCCTAATCACTTAGTATTTCCATACAGAATAGGTAACAACAGATCTAAGAGTTCATTTTATTAGTTAGAGCTCTTTCAACTGCAAATAGAAGAAACCCAACTCAAATGTTTGAATGTCAAGGGGATTTTGTGGTCAGAGACTTAAAAAATGGCCAGATTTTTCTGGCTGGATCCAGACCTTCAAATGCTATCAGCATGGAGAGATTTTTTTCTCTACATTGTGATTGTCTTTTGGGTTGGTGGTCTTCATACACTGCAAGCAAGTCTGGCTTACACAACACACCCCTTTCATCAGTGTGCCAGCAGAAACACTGGAGATGAATCTAATTGTGTTGGATCGGGTTGCTGTTAATCTAGTGTCCCTATGATTGGTTCTGACATCAGCCACATAAATATTGTCTTGGAACTATTAGAAGTGCAAATTCTCAGGCCACGTCCTAGACTTTGGAATCAGTCTCGGTTAGGGACAGCTTCTTATATTTCACATGCCTCAAATATGAAGGGAGGCTTCCCAGAGGTAAATTCTGTTGCTACTAGTTGAAAAATAACAGCTTCCAGGTAGGCATGAAAATCAGTGCAATTTCTATAAAAGTAACTTTTTCACAAGTACTAGGTGGTGAGGTATTACAGCAGAAAATACTTGGTAGTGAATACCTGCGCTTACTCACTGTATCATCAGAAGGCTTATGGTATCAAAGACTTTAATCATGCAGTGCATATTTGGACTCGGATGTTTTCCTGGATAGAAAAAAAATGAAGTTTTATCTTTTAACTTGGGTTATCCACAATCCCATGTTCTCTTTCGCATGATGAGACATGCTAAGCAGTTGCCTGAGAACATGAATGTCGGTGCATGGCATGGGCTGGGGCGGTACTCAGCACCCTGACTGAAGCACTGTCACGTGTATACTATCACGGGTATTTTGTTTTCTGGAACCAAATCAAGAAAACTAAATAGTTTGAGTGGAAACAAGTTTTACCTCCAAGACCTGGTAAGAGTGCTCTCACAAAACATGGTAACCTTTTCTATCTCCGCCTCCTCTCTGGTTTGCATAGGCACAATGGTGGGAGATCATACCCGCTTGGAGTTCCACAATATCGAAACCGGTATCATGACCGAGAAACGTTACATCTCCGTTGTCCCTTCCAGTTTCATTGGCCATCTGCAGAGCCTCATGTTCAATGGCTTGCTCTATATTGACTTGTGCAAAAACGGTGACATTGATTACTGTGAGCTGAAGGCTCGCTTTGGTCTGAGGAATATCATCGCTGACCCTGTCACCTTCAAGACCAAGAGCAGCTACCTGAGCCTCGCCACCCTCCAGGCCTACACTTCCATGCACCTCTTTTTCCAGTTCAAGACCACCTCAGCTGATGGCTTCATTCTCTTCAATAGTGGGGACGGCAATGACTTCATTGCGGTGGAACTGGTGAAGGGGTAAGTGCAAGGGACCACAGAACGTAGGCTGGATGTTTTCCTTCAAGCCCTTCATAAAACATAGACATGATAAAACTTGTCAATTCTTGCTCCACCTGTCTAATCCTGCTGGCATCCTCATTGGTTATAAAGATCCACAAATTATTAGGATTGGAAAGGAGATCAACATAACTTTATTTAAAGATCTTCCTCTAAGTCAACATTATCAGGCTTTTACCAGGGAATATACTACTTTAAAACCATAGGATGGTTTTTAAATACTTGGGTGTTTTGCAAAAGGAAACCGTGGCGTGGCTAACATCCATGTCTTGAGTAATACTAAGTGCCACTATCAAATTTATGCAAAGAAATGAAATACATACAGATATTTTCATCCCCACCATTAGCTGACATGTCCAAAGTTTTCATCACTTTCCTTTCTTCAAGGCATTTTAATACTACATATGGGAAAATAGTCAGAACCAAAACAAAACCAGGTCCATGACTGACTGGATTTGAATACTGCCTGGTAGTTTTTCTCAGTGTACCACCTGTGCTGCTTCTCGGCTCTGGGTAGTATTCAGGCAGCAGCAGTGCTGAAGAAGTAGACTCTGTGAAAATGAAATTAAAATGAAGAATGGTATAATAGCTAAGGACTGTTCTTCTAACTCCAAGGCAGGCTGTAATGACTGTTGTGATAGAGCAGGTTAGCACGGGAGCTGTGAAGCCCTCAGTGTCAGCTTCACGCATCCTGCCACTGACCCACTTGAGGGAGCTGCGTGCCATCGAGTGTCTTCTGTGCTTCCTAGGTTCATACACTACGTGTTTGACCTTGGGAATGGTCCCAACGTGATCAAAGGCAACAGTGATCGTCCCCTGAATGACAACCAGTGGCACAATGTCGTCATCACTCGGGACAACAGCAACACGCACAGCCTGAAAGTGGACACCAAGGTGGTCACTCAGGTTATCAATGGGGCCAAGAATCTGGATTTGAAAGGTAAATCTTGTGAAGAAGTTTGTCCTTCTCAGAGTATTTCTTACAATGGAAAGATCGTTTACAGAGGCAAACCACAGTTAGGAGTGCCCTGTATTGGTTGTTGGAATATTCTGTGTATCCTATTTTAATGTATGGAATTATAATATAATGCAACTTTTTCAGGTTTTACATAGGGTAATAGTTCACTTTCTCTGATAACCCTAAGAATGTCTTGGTGACTGAGTAAGGAGGTGATAATTGTCAAAATGGGGGTAGCATTCATCATAAAGAGGAAGGACTATAATCTGGAATTTCAGCTGAGTCATCTATTGCTTTGGCAACATAGGTAAAAAATTCTCAGCCTCATTCAGCTTATTTATAGGGTTTTTCACCCCCAAAAAACAAGGGTAATGATTCTTACTCTGTTTATGAGTCATTAGGGAATTTTGATAGCATGTCTGTAAAATCCTCAACATATTATTTGTAATAAGCACATGAAAAGTACTCAGTAAACGGTTGTGTTGTTGAAAATGCTGTTAATTTTTTTTTTTTTTTTTTACCGGGGATTGAAGGCAGGCCACCGAACCACTGAGCTAAATCCCTGGCCCAATGCTGTTAAACTTTACTTCATCACACCACGGGGACCATATCTACTTTCTAGAGTTGATAGGGTGACTTAAACTTGTGAGATGCTGTATCTGATGAATGACACATAAGAAGTGCTGGCTTTTCCTTGCTACAGTTTAGAAACTCTGAGGCTGACTTTGCTGAGCCGCCCCCTCTGTTACCTAATGCAAAGCTGAAGTGCACTGGCTTTTACTCACTTGGCCTCCTGGCTATTTGCTTTCCTTCCTAGGTGACCTGTACATGGCCGGCCTGGCCCAAGGCATGTACGGCAACCTCCCGAAGCTTGTGGCCTCCCGCGATGGCTTCCAGGGCTGCCTGGCCTCCGTGGACTTGAACGGGCGCCTTCCTGACCTCATCAATGATGCCCTCCATCGGAGCGGGCAGATTGAACGTGGCTGCGAAGGTAGAACTTTTTTCTTGTTGAGCTACAGCCTTGTTGCAAGCAAGCATCGAGCCTCTTTGCTGCCTCTGCCAGTGCCCCTCTCCTCAGTCTACCCATCCTCCCTCATTGTCCTTTGCCACCCAGCAAGGCATTGTCACCTGTGTCTTCTTGTCACTGGTCGAGTATGTCAGGACATGTGCCACGGGCTCTAGGAGTGTATGTTGGCAGATGTTTTCCCAGGATCACATACTTGCTAATAGAGAACCTTCCTTGGCATTGACATCGGAGTTCTCCCAATCTGGGCCTTTGCTTCTAGAATGGCTGAAAGGCTTCAGAGTCTTTTATTTATATTTTAATAGAAGGTGAGTGAGAAACCACGGACTTTATGTATGTTTCACCCTTAATAGAATGCTTTTTATTTTGGCTAAATGCAACTGTATTATTTAATGCAAATCTAGGGAGAGATAGGGGAATGATGTCAGAATGCCATGATGATGGAAATAACCTGATTTTTATTAAGTGCCTACTAGGTATTAGGCATTATTAAGCAGTTCCTTTTTATGGTTTAGTTGATGTTGATGTTAGAAAGACCTATATTCAGGTCTAGGTAATAGCTAGGTGTGCTATTTGGAAGGTTGCTTAACCTCTCTGAGCTACATCTTCCTTTTTTTTTCCTCTAAAATGAGACAATGTGATTTACCTTGAAAGATAATATAAATGAATCAGATATAATGCCTGGTACATAGTAGGTCCTGGAAAATTTTATTGTTTACAAATATTATATCATATGAGACATCTGAAAACATTGCATGCCTACCCATACAGCACAGCAAACCATGCTCAGCCTGTTTCTGTAGATGTTCCGCTCTTCTTTGAGATATTAGCTAAATTTTACAAGTGAATGATAAAAATGATTCCTAACAGTAAAAAAAAAAAAAATCTAGTTTTGCCAACAGAGAGCATCAGTGACCACAGTCTGTGTTCCCTGGTGTCCTCCGTATGGCTGAATGGGTGACTCTACTTAATTGAAAGGCTGAGAGGAGGTTGCCCATGAGTCACTAGAATCTAGGTATTCGTTCCTCTGGTTGAGTCTCTTGGTCCTTTGTTTGTGCAATGTGTTGTGTTGTCTTTTGTTCCTTGTTAATTTACTGCATCTATGAGTTCATTCGTCTCCTGTGTTCCACCTCATGGACCATTCCTGTTTTTCACCAACCTCCATCTGTGTTCTCTGACTACCTTGCTGCACATTTTAGTGAAAACTTCTCAGCTTCATAGACTGACTTGTAGTTAGGATAACTGTTTCCCTCTCCCTAGGCATCAGCTGCCTCTACTATATTAGCATAAGATTGCTCTCTTCTACCACCTACGCCGTTCTTCCTTTAGCCAGAAATGCTTCTTACCTTCTGTTGACCAAATGTGGTCTGTGTGTGTAGAGAAAACAGCGCTGGGAATCAGGAAAAGCAGCCACTTGTGTTCTAGAAATGCACAGTTTCATTCAACTGAAAAAGGAAATTTGTCTTATTGGCCTGTTCTTAGTTCTTTCAGAAGCTAAAAGGCAGTGTTGGGATAGATGCAGCATTTGCAATTAAGTGGTCCATCCAAGTTTAGAAGATTACAGAATGATGGCAGTTCTAGTTATCCTTGATAATTAACATATCAAGTTAAGTCAGAATATAAATCACATATTTAAATAAGGCGCTATTCAAATGCTAAAATTTTTTATCATGCCATCAGTTTTTCACATGGAAAAGTGAAGAGTCATTCATTCAGCTGTAAAGTAACATTGCCCAAGAGAAATGAAATATAAATCATATAAACTAACTTTAAATTTCCTACTAGCTTTATTTTGAATGATATAATGTAACAGGTAAAATTAATTTTGCTTTTATATTTTATTTTACCTAACCCAAAATATACCACCACATATTGTGGTCGGGACATGTGATTGTTGCAAAATTATCGATAAATCTATTACGTTCCTTTGGTCACGTTAGGCCTTCAGAATTGATTGTGCCTTTTATACTTGCAGCCACCTCAATTCAAGCAACATGCATTGAAAGTGCTCTGTGGCCATAGGTGCTTGTGGCCACTGTACTGAAAGTACAGCTGTATAGGGTATTAAAGTTGGGGTAAAAGGAAATGCAAGTATAGTTTTGGATTAGAAGGAGATCTAAATTAACTTCCATAAAATGTATAGTATAAAGTGGGAAATGGACTTTATCTAAGATAGCTTAGAGAGCAGCAGTGAGAACATTAGCAGAAGGAAATTGCCCACCAAATTGGGGGAGATGCTGCAGCCCTGTGTGCTGTTCGTCATGACTCATCACATGCATTATGGTGGGTCCCGACCTTCCTCTCAGTACGAGTGATTGTCAAAGCCAGATATTGTGACTTGATGGCTTTCCCATCCAGATTCGTAGCAAATCCTATGGGCCTAATAACACTGCACTCTATTGCCATGGAGATAATTATGGCCGAGCATTATCACTGCCCTACTGGGTGGGATGAAGTGGAGGATGAGCCTCCGGGGAAGAAGGTCCTTGTTTATTGTACACAAATGACTTCGATAATTACCCTAAGTAGCCAGGAAAAATGGCCAAAAAGTGGGTTAAGGTATAAATTACTGTCACTGGAAGTTTGCACCATTGTGAATAAGCCCTTCTCAAAGAGCCCAGGAGCTTTGTAGGGTTCTGTGGAAATGAAGCACTGGAAGATAACGGGGAGGGAAGTGAAGGGCCCTGAACCCCGAAAAGGCTGCTGCAGAGAGATGTCATTCTCACTCCAACCTCTGGCACACAGCATGTGGCTTCCAAGAGAGCCTGTGGGTATTAGACAGTGTGAGAACCTTAGGCTATTTCTTGGCTTATTATTTCTATATGTAGAATAGTGAATAGGTATGGGATGAGATTTCATTACCAAGAAGTAAGGACCTGGTTCTCTTTAAATGGTAAATGTGCTTCATTCTCACATATTTAGGGTACACTGATCAGACATCACATGTATTCTTGTTAAAGTCATTGAAAAATGACATTTTAAGATCCTTAAGTAGTGGCTGGATGTATAATTTTCTCTACTATATCTGGCCATGGCAGCACATAAAAGGCAAAAGAGCTCAAATTTATTTTAAAAACTTACTAATCCACTCTTCTTTGGCTCTCTCTCTCTCTCTTTTTTTTTTTTTTGAGGCCAAACATATCTTCAAATAGGTTTTGATTTTATGTCTCTAATATATTGCAGAATGTAAAATTTAGAAGTTAAGTGAATTTCCCAGCCAACATCTGCCTGTGACTTTTGACTTCTCTGTTTGAGCTAGGATAACTTAAAATAATACCCGATTTAGTGCTTGGCTGGCCAATATCTCTTCCTCTCCTGAGGCCCCTTTGTTTCAGAGGCTAAGGCATTATTCTCTAAAAATGCTATTCCCTCACCACAGATGGTAAACATCTGAGAGAGACACATGTGTTTCATTTTGAGACTGGCATGAATGAATAAAAAGGACAATGGTTTGGTGCCTTTTTGCCCACAAATATTTGAGTTTGGCTGTAGTCTTATAAATTTAATAAACTGAGCTCTTTGGTGTTTTCAAATAAGTCACTCATTTTGAGAATCTCATGCTCTACTGACTGAGCTAACCCTAGCCTGGTGCCATGTTTCTCTGTGGCATCAGCAGTGGGGTTCATGTGGAGGGGGGGTATTCCCAGGGGACTCTTCCATGCCCGGCTCCAAAATGCTCTGAATTATTTTTGTGGGCTCTGTCTGATTGTACACACATGTCTTTCAGTCTGGCCATGCACTACCCTTATTGCTGGACCATCTGCCTTGAGTTTGGCTGTGTGGGGTTGGCTGACGTGGGAAGGCTCTTGTCACTCGTTGCTTGTGCTTTGTCAAGTCCACTGTTTCCCTGTCCCTGCTCTGCTGACTTGGCTCTGGGGAGACCTGCTGTGCCCCTGGTCTGTGTGTCCCTGTGTTTCCTTGTCTGTGCTGTCTCTGGTGAACCAGTAGAGCACTCATTTGTCTGTTTGAGTGATGTTGGTTATGCAGCGTGCATTTTTATTTTTCTGATGTTACCCTGGTTTATTCTACCTCATACTAACCTCTGGTTATTGTTTTCGCTTTTTCTGTTCTTTTGCTAACAAAGTTGCGTTGACCAAAGCTGACCTGCAAGGTAGAGAAGGCTCTTGTCCCCATTACCACTCTGGACTGAAAGATTCCCTGTGTAACCCTTGATATCTTCGCTTCAGATGGCTTCAAGCTGTCACGCCTCTGAGACAGCAGCCATTATGGGGAGGGGGCTGAAACCAGTGTTCTTCTGAAAGAGTGAAAGACAGCTCATGTCAATGCATGAAAAATAACTATACAGAGGAAATTCCATGGGGATTAAGAACACGATTCCATTTTGGGGGGAACCAAAGAAGTTTGATAGCATACTATACTGTGACTACTCACAAACACAGCATTCTATTCTGGAAATGATTAAAACCTCTTCAAGTGGTTGCCATGAAGGGTCTGGCTCCTTCTGATTTATTCACTATAGACAGAAGGCAGGACTTTGAAGAAGAATAAGAATAAAAAAAAAAACAGAAGGGGGTACTTAAGTTCTTAATTTATTATTTTCTAGGTTGGACAGGTCATTTTCTAGAGCAGGGCACTTAAGTGCTTGGGCCTTGTAAAAGAGAATATCATTTTCTCTTAACTCATTCTAAAGAAATATTTTAGGTATTTGGGGGATATTAATGTCATTAAAACATTCCAGTGATTTATATTTCTTATCGGGGATTCTTGTTGAGCACTTTAGTTTCCTGTTTTGCGATTTAAGGAAAAAAGCACTCTTGGGGAAGAAAGTCTTTCAGTTTTATTCAAAACACCCTATAAAATGCCCATATGTAAGATATCAGTGAATATTTATTACAGAAACTGCCTCTTCTGGGGCTGGGGATTTTGCTCAGTGGTACCACACCTGCCTCATAAGTGTAAGGTCCTGAGTTTGATCCCCGATACTGGGAAGAAAAAAAAAAAAAAGAAACTTCCTCTTCTAACTCACAGAGAGGCACCTTGTAAAGTCTTTAGTGGTCCTGTTGGCCCGGGGCTGTTTGACTCAGAATGGCAAGGGAGAAACAGGCACATTAGGTATCTTCTCACTTATTGTCAGGCAGGGAACTGAGCTTCAGACAGCCCCTTCAAAATTTGCAACAGCAAATATTGAAGTGGTTAAGGCAAAAACCCCATAAAAGAGTGACTTGTCATCTAAAAGATCGTTTACTTTGCTCTGACTTATTAGTCTTATGCCATGTAAGTAACCAGTGCAAGCACCTGTCTCAGGAGGACATCAACTAATAAGGACCCTCTCTAATCATCTGACTATCTGTACCTCATTTCTCTTTACCTGCTCTGAGGAAATTTTGAGCTATACTAAAATTCATGAAAAGAAAAGAACATACACTGGCTAATACTTTGAGGTCTAAGAAAACTTTCCAATAATATTCAAAGCATGTAAGTTGCTCTTGATAATATTATAGTACTATGTAAATGGAAGAATGGGTAAGGAGGCAGGATTTGGTCTATAGTGCAAGACGATCCCAGATTGTTGAAGATCCTTGGGACCAGGTTTAGTAGCTCAAACTGTACAGCTAGCTGCATATCTTCCTAAGCTTTGCTGTTCTTCAGGGTGACAACTACATGGATTTTGAATTTCTACACCCTAACACAGGACCTCTCACATACAAACGTCATACACAAAATAATCTTCAAGTCCCATCTCAAGGGAAAATGGTTTGTGACTGTCATACTGAGAAGCGATTGAGCTCCACAACTGTTACTAATTGTTTACCAAATAAAACCAACAGGTCTCTACAACTGTTATCCTCTGGTTAAAAAAAAAAAACTAAATTGTTTATCAAAATATAAGCACAGACTTGGGAACAGGAGAGTTTTGAGTATCCCTTTTCTTTTTAGAGAAGGAGTCTAATCATCAGCATAAATTTTAAGTTATTACTCTGTTAACACAGACTTTCTTCAGTTCTTGGAATGACTTGACAATCTCTTTGCTTGTGACAGGAGCTGCTATTCTTTGTAATTATTTTGGTTCACCTTGCTCTTTCCCTGTATTATGGCAAATGAGCTTTGCTATGCAAATGCTTTCAATTTTTATTTTTCTGACACTGGGATACAGGCCATCACTCATATGCTGGCTTTTTCCTCTGTAACCTGTTGGCATAGAGAGTATTAATTACCATTCAGTGAGAAAGGCAATAAAACATAGACAATGAAATGAGGCAGACAGAAATGCAGGGGCTAACATATTCAGAAGGAAATCCCACAGTAAGCTAAAGAAGCCACATGTGAAGTCCTGATAGATCAATAGCTTGAATCCTCCTATTGTTGTGTTGTGGAGTAGTGGTGCTTTAATTTTTTCAATTTCACCCTTCATTATATTTTGCACTTTAGCAGGAACCAAATGTCAGCTATTCAGTAGTCAATACAGAGCAACAGACACTAAGCTAGGTAATAGGGATCTAAGTGACTTTGGTCTCTGAGGAGGTGCAGTCATTAACCTCAAAGAAGCCAGTAGATCAGCCAACAGTTACATTGCAGATTATGTATTTTTCCATATGAGCATGGAGGAGGCCAGCTGGACACTGTGAGCAGAGGGTGGTTAAGGTGGATGCTCATGCAAAGTCTTCTCAGGCAGAGTTTGTGTCTGAGTGAAGGACGAGTGTATTTCAGATGGATGCGTGGAGGAAGCACATGTAAGAGCTTGACAGGCTTAGGGAACTCGAAGAAGACCAGTTGTGCGGAAGTAATGTGTGCGTGAAGATGGGATAGAGGATGAAACCGGGAAGTCATACGGAGATAGGTGATGGAAGGCTTGTCCTGGAAGGGGTTGGGCTCATCCTGTGGATGCTATAAGGGGAAAAGTGATTTGAGTTAGATTTTAATTGTGTCACCCACTACTGCCTCCTGGGTAGAGACTGGACGAAATGGACAGGACCTGAGAGTGGAGACCAGTGTTAGCAGGGAGGCAGTATAGTTAAGACAGAGAGAAGAGATGACCCCTAAGGCCTGGTACTTTACGTTCCCAAGGAGGGGAAGATGTTTTCCTGTCAGATGAAGCCTCAAGGACCTGGGGATAAAACGAGCTCTTTCTCCTGTTTGACCTACCCTCCCCTGCTGTACTGCATTCTAGTTAAAAGCATATCTACTCGCGCATTATATGAGAGACTCCTGGAAGAACCTCATGGACAGTCTCGATTTCAGGTCAGACTGCACCTCTCCCAGCTCAGAGAGGTCATGTGAGCAGAGCTATGTATGGTGTGCTCCTGAGGCAGTGGCAGGCGTGCCCTCCTGTGTGGCATTGAGGTGCAGACTGTATCAGTGTCCCCTGCACAGAATGACAGTTTTGACATAAGCTTTAAAAAGGGTTTTCTGATTTGCAGTGTGAAGGAGGTATATCACTGGAAAGGCAAATACTGAATAAAACCTTTCTGGGTAAGAAGGAGCTAGAGAACTACCAAGAAAGCAGGCATTTTCCCCTGTGAGAAGTGAGGTAGGTGCCAGGCACGCTGAGGAACACAGGTGCTTCCTCAGTTAGGTGGTTAATGAGAATAATTTCTCCTCACTTTTCTAGAAATGGATGTTGACCAAGTACCCAAATGGTGGACAGACAGGTGAGGCACTTGCATTGATAAACTCTGGACCTGAATGATAGTTGTTTTGAGAAACTCAATGTATTGAGTTTGAGTGTCCTAAAACTCTCAAGGTTCTTTTAAGGCATTTTAGTTGAGTGTTGTTGTCTGCCTTTAGCAGACAGATGAAAGTTTAATTCTCCAACTTCCTTTATTGTGAGGAGTATAGTTTTCCATTTCATTTTCTCCAAAGCCAAAAGCTAAATCACATTTTTCACTGTATTTTATGTAATGTAATGTAATACCTGACATAATAGAAATTGGTTCTTCCAGAATGATTTGCCATGTGGGAAATAATAAAAGGGGAGAGGAATTGATGTGACCATCCCACAGGGGTTCCAACCTTTTTCAACATTGCATGAGCAAGGTTTATCTCCAGAGAACTATGTAAATATGGCTTACTGCCTGTATTAGTCAGCTTTCCCATTGCTGTTACACAAAACCCAACATCCATAAATTTCAAAATGAGAGGCTTAATATGTTTCATGTTTTAAAGGAATTCAGTCCATGTTCTGCTGGCCTCTGTGTAGAAACAAGGTGCATGCCAAAGCAAAGCTGCTTAGGTAATGGCAGCTGGGAAGCGGAAAAAGATTACAGTGCCAGAGAGGAAGGGTCAAAGAACCAGACACAGACCCTGAGGCTCACCCAGGAGTGTGTTCCACCAATTCCCCAGGTAGATTCCAAAGTCAAACACTCTAGTTCCAAAGCACCCTAATCTCTGCACTATCTTAATTTGTCTTATTTTGGGATGCCTCACTAACTAAACACCCAACCAGAACAGGAAGAGAACACCTTTTTTTCCCAACAGGACTAGTAAGACTGCTTACTGAGAGACTGCTTGGTATAAGCACATGCTTAGTACTCGGCATATTATGTCTCCATTATGACCTTGACTTGACATGATGATGCAGTTAGGTGACACGTTGTATCGGTAGATACCATCATGTTTCAGGGGTGACTTTATAACCTTTGCACTTATTATCTCATTTAAACCTCATACCTGTGAGATAGTATAACTAGCACTATAAACTCTAAACTTCTCCTGTTGAGCAAGGCTCTTCTCTTTAGCACCAATCCCCTCAAAGTGAGATAATATGCAGATGCCAGCCTCAGAAGGCCAGCAGCCTGTTTTGTTTTTCACCTGAAAGAGGAAGATGATCTGAATTGTCAAGATCTGCACGGTCTCTTGCTCTCCCCTTCTCCTCTGTCCCTTGCCCACATGTAAGTAAAGGACAAGATAATGACTTGAGGCAATTGGCCGTCTCTGTCTCCTCAAGCTAGCTTTAAATAAATGACCCCCTTTTAACTCAGATACATGGCATTCTTTGATTTGCTCAGTGGTTAGCAGACAAACATGAGTGTATGAGTCTAAGTGGCTAGGAACAGTTGCAATGATTTCCATTACCATTATGAAGATGGAGGAACTGAGGTCCAGAGTTTACATAGGCCAAAGTCACATTGCTAGGAAAAGATAATCCTGGAT